GTCCTTTTGGTGGGAACTTGTCCTCACTCAGTTTATTTAGGTTCTTTCAATCAACAGTGAACCATGTGATAGATCATAGTCAATAGTCTTCTCAGGAACCAAAATCTCCCCAACTAAAACTGGTCAAATAATCTACTTGAAAATTAGCTCCTAAGCTTTTGCAGAACATAATATCCAAAGATAAGAAATGGCTGTCCATGACTGGACCATTAAGAAACCAACTTTAAATTCTATATAGCTGCGAAAAATTAGCAAGCTCATTTCAGCCCCAAATTTAGACAATAAAACTACTCCACTCATCCAAGTGACATAAGACCAAAAAAACATCATCCATGTTAGTTCACCATATTCCCTACTATCATGCATGAAAAGTTATTACAAAATCAGGCATCAATTCCTCTTATTATGTGTGATCTGTCTAACAAATAATCAAATACCCAAAGAGATAGCATTGCATTACATTTATAGCCAGGAGTCCAGCATCGCATTGCCGGTTTTATTTCCCCTAAGATCAGTCTTATATGTAGATATGCAGCTACAAACAAGGACAAACCTCAAATTTCAAGAATCCTTCAAGAACATCCAAAAGCAAAGGGCCACTATCTCCATTCCTGTTCAGATCATATCCATTCTTGCTACTAAATTCTTTCAACTCAGCTTTCCAAGAATCTTTTTGCTGCAAAGGAAAGTAAGGATTGCTGTTTAATATTCACAAATTAAGTGCAATGAGTATCGTACCAAAGTTGTTAAAAAATCCTTGCAAAAATACCATTGATAAATTACATGATTACCAAATTGCATTCTGGTAGATAGACTTTTAGTGTATGGTTTAGCTGCGCCCAGTCTAAGTATTCACATATGAGTGCAGTTAGCAGCCTCCCTGCATTTTTTAAAAGAAAAATCAACAGAACATACACAAACAATTATGTATGTTTATTTTTTCTTGTTTTACAAGAAAAAAACACGTGCACAAATGCTTAAATCACTAGAAACTTTAAACACCACAAGCAAGTAACTCGAGGCACATTTTTTAGGATTGGGAACGTGGAGAATAGCTATTTGATATCATGTCTTATCAAAAACCAACATCCAATGAAAGACCAGCAGTCCTGTAATGTCCTCTATACTCTCATGATTCTAACACGAAAACTTGAAGGACAGCCTAAACCAATCTAAAATAACATAACTTTTGAGTTCAGCCCCCAAAAGCATGTCCACTCACGAAGCTTCAAAGTTTTAGTTGCCTGTGAGAGATTTCAAAAAAGTATTCTGGTTGGGGGAAAATTTTATTTAGTTTGTCCCCCCTGCATCAAAATTGTTATCTACCATGATAGAGTGATTTGAAACATAAGTATTAGTGCATGAGAAAAATAAATTGTCAAGTCAATTACCCCCCATTATTTAAAGCAATCCAACTTTTTTCAAGACCTTACACAAGCTCTCATAAAGACAACAAAATGCTAAAAATGTACACAAACATGCTATCATGGATTACATTAATTCAAACAAAAACTAATTAAAGAAAAGGCTTAATATTTTCAAACTCGACAGACAGATGGAAAAGGCTGTGAATTCAAGGAGCAACCTGATGGAGAAGCATGAAGTTGTTTAGCACGATCATTGCAGCTACCCAATAATGCAGGAGGTAAGCCTTCATCTTTTTCAATCACCCTATCCTCCTCTTCAATTGCCTCAAAAACACTTGCCCTGAGTTCAGCCTGCCAACAGAGTAGACAAGTAAGATACAGAAATTTATAAAAAGGAAACTAAAAACTATATCGACAATGGCGAAATAAGACCAAGCGACCAACCCAGCAGGGATTACTGTGCCCGGCTACATTTTCAATTTAATTTGACTGGATAAACACAGTTAAGGATTAAAAAACGAAAAAGAATTGCTTCATAGAACACTTCCTGGACAAAAATTTAGCATGAGACAACAGATAAACGCTTATAAATTTACAAAAAGGAAGAAGGAAAAGCCATCTAATTCACTGAGAATTTGAGACCTTTTGCTTCACATTGGACTACAAAAGCTTTGATCTTGCATGAAACACAAAACCCTAGCTACAAAATATAAAAATACCCGTTTCTCCTCCCATCCACTACGAGAAAAAAGAACCTAATTTCAATTTCAAACAAATAAAACAAGATCCAGAGCAAAAACAATCATTCAATTTTTTTTTCCACTGAACGAGATCCACACAGGAAAAAGTACCTTTGCCTCGATTAATTATCTTGAGGCAACAGAATTAAGATTTTACAATCAAAATAACCATTGTACTTTCAGTTTATTATCATTATAAAAAGGAAATTGAAGGTTTGATACCCGGATCTTAGCAAGGACGCCTTTCTTCTCTAGGGTTCGAGTGACGAGTGTTTTCAGGTCCATCATTTCTCTCGTGTAATCGTCCATTTTTTTAAGAAAAAAAAAAAAAAAAGGATGGCTGGTTTGTTCTTCCCTGCTCACTGTTTCTTTTTGAAAAATTTTGATCTTTTTGAGTAGAAATGAAACACAGAGAGAGGGGAGATGGAGAGAGACCGTGGGGTGTGTCAAAGTAATGACTGGAGTCGTAAACGTGGGGTCCAGAGGACGATGGTAATGAAGATTGGATCTGGGTCGTCCATGTCAGGATCTGAAGTTAGAGTTTGTGGGTCCTACTTGTTGGTGAGGAGAGGAACTCATTGCAGCATACTGTTTCGCACAATTTGAATGGATGTTTAAAAATATAAGTTATATAATCTTATAATAATTTATGTTATTATTCAATAATTTCATTGATTATCCATCCATGATCATGCTAGTTGTTGATATTATTTTAGAATTATCACTCGAGAACACATCGCCATCTTCTAAAATAAATAATTAGTGATTAAATATGATTTTAGTAAAAAAATTCTTTGTTGCTTTATAGAATTAAAATTGTTAAAAAAACATTTTTAATTATTCTAAGCTGATAAGTATTTAAATGTTATTCTACTGATTTGTAAACTTGGAGTTGCTATAACTACAATACCTTCAGGTAACTATGACAAGATCGCAATATTTTGTGGCTCGAGATATACGAATAACCTCCCAGATCCTTGCAAAGACCCAATAATCAATGGATTTATAATTTACAAGTGTTTTTATAATATAAAACCTTTATATATATGTAAAGAGTAGCTTCATCGGGAAAAAAAAAAAAAAAAAAGACCAAACACATTGTGTGTTTAGTATGGTAGTGTAGAGTATTTTGAAAAAAGAATATTATTTTACTTTAAAATATATTATTTAAAAAAATTATATTGGTATATTAAAATCATATAAAAAACTAAAAAAATACGAATTAATAAAAAAATATTTTTAAAATACATAAAAAAAAAAATAGAAGCTACTCAACTCCTAACAATCACTCAAGGCAATGTCCCAGCTAGCAAAGATTTCTTTAGAGTTAGACAACCAGCGATTTTCAATTTTAATGGCATTGAAATTGAATTCCCGTCTAGTGTCGAGTATTCACGAAGAAGTTGAAGGTGTCATAAAAAACTAAAAGTTGACGATTTTTACAGGAACAAATACAATGACATGAGTTTTCATGTTATAAAATTTTTGAATCGTTTATTTTATTGCTATAAAATTCATTAAAATCCACTAATATTTAGGGTGATTGTTTTAACTAAACTCATTTTTTTAAAAACAACTTAAATTAAACAAAAAAACTAGTTCAAATCAATCAATTTTAATTTGGTTATTTTACGACAAAAATTAAAACCCAACTGGTTTATTTTTAATTTAATTTGATTTAATTATTTTAAATTAAAAGCTAAAAACTATATCGTGTTCTGGGTTTTTTTGGTAATTCTCAATGGGTTTGATTTCAATTTAACATGGTTTTTTTAATTTGGTTTGATTTTTTTATTTGGTTTTGCTTAATTTGTTTTTTTTTTTAATTTCATGCTTATTAAATTGATACCAAACTGGTTGGTTTTAAAATATTTTAATTTATTCAATTGGGTTTTTTTCACAATTCAATTTTTTTAGTTTATTTTTAGTTTTCTCAGTTTGATCCGTTTTTTATTCACCCCTATTGTAACAGAGGGAATTGATGAAAAAAAATTCACTTTTATTGTAATATATACTAAAAGAAATCAGTGTTTTATTGTGGACTGTACAGTGCAGTCCACAGTAAAACACTGATACTTTAGGTTTTTTTTTAAGTTGTTTTATTTTTTTATGGCTTTTGGGATTATTTTTTTCTTCTTTCTTTGTTTTTTTTCTTTTAACAAAATTTTTTTGTTTAATTTAATTTATTAATATTAGATTTTTTTTATTTAGCTGTCAGACTTTCATGACTCGTTTTCTGGATTTAACGAGTTAATCTAGTTTGATAAGTTAACCCAGTTTTTTTTATTTTTTTTAATTAATTTTTTTTGTTTAGTTTACTTTGTTGATATTAAATTTCTTTTTATTTAATTATTAGACTTTCATGACACATGTCTCAAGTTTCACAGATTAACTTGGTTTCACGAGTGAACCGAGGTAATTTTAGGTTGACCCATTATTTAAAAAAAAAAATATTATTTTCATAAAAAAAATTTGTTTGATTTAGTTTGTTAATGTTATTTTTTTTATTTGGTTATCAGACTTTCATGACACAAATCCTAAGTTTAACAGGTTAACATGGTTTGACGAGTTAACCTATATTTTTTTTTCTTTTTATTTTTTTTTTGTTTAGTTCAGTTTGTTAACATTCACTTTTTTTTTATATATATATTTAGTTACCAGACATCATGACACGGATCCTAGGTTTAATGAGTTAACTTGGTTTGACAATTTAACTTGATTTTTTTTTTTTGCTTTTTTTCTTTATAATTATTATTTTTTGTTTGGTTTAGTTTGTTACTGTTAAATTTCTTTCTATTTAGTTTTATTTTACTTCTTAGAGGTTTTTTTTAATTAAATTAGTTTATTAATATTAAAAAAAATTCTATGCAACTCCCGGTCGATGCCTTTGTTTTTTTTTTCATGTCTTTGACTATGGACTGCACAATGCAGTCTATAGTGAAAAGGCTGATGGCTTTTGTAGTTGTTTTTCTTTTTAATTGATTTTTTTATTTAATTTAAATTGTTAATGTTAAATTTTTTTTTATTTAGTTATCAAACTTTTACGATACAGATTTCGGGTTTGACAGGGTAACCTGGTTTAACGAGTTAGCCCGATTAATTTTGGGCTAACCCATTAATTTTTTTTCCCATGTTGTTATTAAACTTTTATAACTCGAATCTAAAGTTTGATGGGTTAACCTGATTTGAAGGGTTAACCCAGTTAATTCATATTTTTTTTCTTCATTAGTTTTTTTCTTTATATTGGTTTTTTTTCTTTGTTTTTTTCTTTTTAATTAATCTATTTAATTATCAAACTTTTATGACACAAATTTCAAGTTTGACGGGTTAACCTGGTTTAACGAGTTAGCCCAGTTAATTTTAGGTTAACCCATTAATTTTTTTTTCCTATTTAGTTATCAAACTTTTACAACGCGAATCTAAGGTTTGATAGGTTAACCTGGTTTGAAGGATTAACCCAATTAATTTATTTTTTTTTAATTTTTCTTCATTAGTTTTTTTCTTCATGTTGTTTTTTTGCTTTGTTTTTTTTTAATTAATCTATTTAATTATCACACTTTTATGATACGGCCTTGCAGCTAGACCCATGTCCAATGCTATTGGGTTTGGTATTGTAGCCAAGCCTACTTAAATTTGGGTTATGCAAGTTTAATGTTATTATTAATATTATAAATATTACTCTTGAATCAGACGTTACAGTCAAACCTAAGACTCTTAGGTATAACTTTATAGAAAAACTTAATACTTTTAGATCTTAGCTTTTTAAAAATATAAAAAATAATTAATTCACGGTATCGCGCGGGTCATGTAACTAGTAGAATCTATAACAATATGAAAATTATTATTTTTAAAATATTTTTTATTTATAAATATATTAAAATAATAATTTTTTATTTTAAAAATTAATTTTAGTACTAATACATTAAAATTATTTAAAAATATTAAAAAATTATTAATTTAAAACAAAAACATAATTTGTTTTTATAAAAAAACAGCTATTCAGCACTCTCACCGATAAATGTTATATAAATCATAGGTTATGATGTCAAAATGTTAAACGATAACAGGCCCCGGTTCAATATTTCTCGGCTTCATCATACACCCATCACAGCCCGTGAATATAGTAGGAGGTATTGACGTAATGGGCTCGTGGATCCCACCTCTTTACTCAGCGAGATCGAATTTCCGGGCTATAATAATAATTACAATAAAAGTTTATCCACGCGTGCCTTTAATAGTTATCATCTTTTCAGTTTCCAGCCGTTGACTTTGACAGATAGACAATAACGGTATAATAGAACTTTCAAATATTAAGAGTTTTCTACCTAGGGCATTCTTCAAAGTTTTTGAAATATTAAAAAAAATAAATTAAAAGAACAACTGAGGATAAAACCAGGCCTATTAAGGATAAAATATATTTTAAAAAATAATAAAAAGAAAAAAAATATTTTTTTATTTTAAGGATAAAATCACGTTGACTAAAACCTATTTCCAACCGATCTTAAAAAATGAAAATTTAATAAAAAAATTAAATAATAACACGAAATATAAAAAGTTACACTAACTAGAGAAATGCTGTTGACGAGAGCAATGCGACGACAGGGCACTAATTGAATGGCTTCATTTTTTGCAACCAGCGGCCCATGTTTCTAGCGATGATTGCAGGCTTACAGCAATAACAAACCCTTCTAGATTGATATGAAAAATCAAACAGAAAATTCTGATCACTTAAATTATCTCCACGGCCCAACCCAAGTATGTAGATAGAACGAGTACCATTACAAGCATGCTAGGGTGTTTAGTTTAAAAATGTTATAATAATTACGATTTACAATATTTTTTATTTAAAAATATATTAATTTTTTTAATTTTTAATCTCAACATATCAAAACAATATAAAAAATAAAAAAAATAATTTTAAACCAAATAAATTTTAATTTTTTAAAAAATATTCCCAAATACTATCATAAAAGTACTTTAGAATTTAATAAAGATTTTTAAAATATTTTTATTTAAAAATACATTAAAAAATAATTTTTTAAAAAAATTTATAATATTAATACATCAATTCAATAATAATAACACTAAAAAAATATATTTTAAAGTAATTTTTTTAAACAAAAATAATCCTTTAAGCTGCCTTCTCGACAGTCGAATAAAATAGGATAGTCATGCAAAATCAGCAGAATTACCGAGGAGTGAAGTGTCAAAATACAGGAAGATATTTTATTAACACCGCCTCGTTAGATATTGGAGCATGGTGTGTAGAAAAATGCACATATTAAGGACAGAGATCATATTATTGGTCTCCAAGACATTAAAGGTTTAGGTCCAGATACTATATGGTGGTGTCTCGCCATCCTACACGTGCTTGGCAAAGATTGCCTCAACAATACCTTGAGCTATAGGGTGGTAACATTCACGAGCTTCAGCAAACACTCTTTTGGCCAAGATTTTCTCTTCTTCGTTTCCAGGGCCTTGAACAAGACCACTGTAGAGTGGGCGGAGGTACTTCATCCTCCCAACTTCCTTCAATGTTTTCTCCACCTCACCATAGTAATCCCTACACCTGGAGGAGATAGCCAGTTGGAGAAATGCCACTTTCACCTCATAGTCCTTGGATTCTGACAGCCTATAGCGTGCATCCAAGGCTAACACCTGCATGATGAATTACAAGTAAAACATGAAAAGTAGCTCAACTCAACAGGTCTCGAGCTGGCATACATAGTCATTAACTTCAAAATTCGTGAGATTAATTAAGATACACGCCGCAAATTGACCGAAGACCCACATTAATAATAATAAAAAAATAATTATAACAATTAGTAAGACAAGTTGGTTCCGCTTTCACAGCCCATGAGCGCTTGTTTGAAGCTTAGCACGGCAAGGTAAAAACCTTGACATTGACACGTACACCAGCTCCAAAACCAGGCAAAGATGTACAAGAATTTTACAGAGATCTAAATGGTCTTTAGCATGGGGTTACCTCCAATGAGAGAGCACATGCAGACGTGGAAAGACAAAGTAACTAGGAAATAAAGTTTCAAGAAATTAAAATTACTGCAGGCGAGAAACTTTTTGCAACAAGAAGGGAGGGGGCTAGATGGGGAAATTGATAAGACAATCAAGTCATTACCTGTGAGGCTTCAACAGCTCTGGGCAGGTTCTTGAGGTACAGCTCCCATTCCTGCCCTTTCCAGTTAGCAACTTCATCCTCTCTCGGCATCCTCCCAAGCTTAAAATCCTTTGCAAGTGATGTAATCTTTATATACAAGTTTGAAACCGGTTCATGAGCATCTGGAGGGATGCCAGTGCCCTCAGTCCATAGCTGAAGGTCAATATCTTTCTCTATTCCGTGAACATTGGCTTTCAGGAAATCAAGAAATGTCTCTGTGTCAATTGACTTGAACTTGAACGTGGCGATATATTTCTTGAGGAACTCGTCAAAAGCAGGTCTTCCAATCTAAGAATCTCAAGGGTAAAAACAGAACCAGTAAGAATATTACTGTTCGAAATATCTCCAAGTTCAAACAAGAAATAAATCAATATACCTGATGTTCAATGCGCCACAGAAACTGGAAACCTTTCTCATATGGCACTCGAGAGTACATGTCATCTGGGTCCACTCCTTCCTGATTGTTTTTTAGCTTAGTGAACTCCATGTTGTCCTTGAACCTCTCCATTTCCTCATTCAAACCTCTCCAACCAATTCCAATATTCAGAGCAGCTATATCTTCGCCTTGCACGACCTCAACAATTCTCCTCTCCGCATATGTTGTGAAACCCTAGTTTCATAATCAGAAACTTATAACTCACAAGGAGCAACAATTGCTGAGCACGGCACAAGAATAACCATGGGCTATTGGAAGTTTAAGAGCACATAACACATGGACATTTATCCCAAAGTTAATATATCAGAACCATCTGCTCATAGTTTCCCTCATCCAACACAGAGAGTTAAAACATGTCCCTCTTGAACACTTCGACAATCATTCCAAACAATCAGCATTACAAAGGTACAAAGCAATTAAACTAGCATGAATTCCTCAATGCCATATTTTATAAAAGAAAATTTATTGAACCAGTAAACAAAATCAAACAATTTTCGTAAATAAAGTCAACCACAAACAGACACTGAGAGGCAACACATTTGGTACATCAGATAAGAACACATACAAAGGAAAATGAAATAAAATAAAACTCCATTAAGCATACAAAGAGATACTATTTGAGGCGGCCATTAAACTGATACTGAATCACGAAAAAGAAGAAGTCAAATAATCAAATCAAATGTTAAAACCAAACACTCACTGTACCTCATTCAACCAAAAATGCTCATTATTCTTGTTAGTAATCAAATTCCCAGTCCAACTATGAGCCAACTCATGCGCCACAATCCGCGCGCCACTCGCATCCCCTTTAATCACTGTAGGAGTCAAAAACACCATCCTTGGATTCTCCATTCCACCATATGGAAAACTCGGTGGCAAAACCAATAAATCAAACCTCTCCCAATCATACTCACCAAACAACCTCTCCGCTTGCCTAATCATCTCTTCAGTTCCTGCAAACTCCCTTGCAGCTGCATCCAAAACCCCATCAACTGCCTCCGAATAAACCCTAGTCCTCGGCCCCACCTCTCTAAACCCCAATTCCCCAACAGCAAACGCAAACAAGTACGGCGGAATTGGCTGTTCCATTACAAACTCCTCCACAACCCTCCCTTCCTCGCACCACAACGACTTCAAATCAAATCCAAATCCAGAATCCTCATTCGTCAACACCCCATCCAAATCAGTACCAACAGGGTCATGACGGTCACAATGCCTAGCAGACATAACAGCAGAAAGCTCCCGCGGAAGATTCAACTTTGCAGAGTAACGAACACGCGCGGCAGGCGTATCCTGGCAAGGAAAAACGGAGCGCGCGTGAACAGACTGGCATTGGGTGTAGACAAAAGGGTGAGTTTTGTTGAAAGTTTGGGGCGGAGAGAGCCATTGGAGGGCCGAAGAGGAAGGGGGGGTGGAGTAAAGGATGAGAACTGAGGAGTTGTTGTCCAGATAAACGGTAAGGAGTCGCCCTTTGATGGGATGTTCAGAAGAGGAGAGAGTGAAAGGGAGGGGAGCTGGAGTTGCAGGGTCGAGGATTTTGTGGATGGTGAGGGAGCGAGTGTCGAGAGAGAGCGGGCCAGTGTATGGGGTTTGGAGGGTGAGGAGAGCAGTGGCGTGGATGATGGAGGAAGGGAAGCGGAAGTAGAGAGTGAGGGATACGTGGGTGGTTAGGGGGTGAGTTGAATCAGTGAATGAGTGAGGATCGATCATTGCGGGGTTTTTTGGGCTGTGAGCGGGAGATTAGGAGGTTTTATTTTGATTCTTCTTAAGGAATCTGATTTTGGGAACAGGAAAAGGACGATTTGGGGAATAATAGAAGGGAAAGAAGGGATGATTTGGTGCTGTTTGGGTATTGTTTTAAATTTGGAGGGAGAAGACGAGCAAGGTATCCATGAAAAAGAAAAGGATAGAATCAAGTCATGAACACTCAAGAGTCAATACTGTTGACTATTTACTCGAACGACATCTGATAGGGGTACGAATGACAGGTCATATGATCTGAGACCTCCCTCCCAACGACAAGCAAAAGGGCCGCCTTCGCCCTGGGGTTCCTTCTGGGGTAAGAAAATGAACGACTCTCTAGATGGTCAATACAGGGCGGTGCTTCATATCGATTGGACATTTCGGGCATGGATTCAAGATCAGTCACGCACTCCGTGATCCTAGAGGCATATGGAAGGGATGCCGAGATGCAGCATGCTTATTCTACTGTCAACAATCAACCTAGAAATGGTCCCTCATCGTGTGTGCTTAACATGAATTCAATGTCCGCAGGTTTACTCGAGAAAATTGATATTGGGTCGAGAGATGTTCTTCCTATCGATTGACATCAGAATCTGGCTAACAATCATCTGGAAGATAATTTCCTTTTGCCCGAGGAAAGAAAAGGGTTACTTCCATATCAAAGATGATGAATGAAATGACACTAATATAAATATTGTATCGAAAGCATCACCAAAAGGGTTACTTCCATTTCTAGACTGCATTTTTTGGATAGGTTGAAATAGGAAAAGCAAATAGAGAAGCGAAGATTGATTACAGTCATTTTAAAAAAAGGGGAGAAAAGGACAGTGCAATCGATGAAAGCAAAGCACATAAACGAAGGTAGAATTCTACCAAGTCTGAAAACAACTAGTAATGCTTGTTTCCAAGTAGAAGACCAGATGAAGGCTGCAGTGAACGATTTCTTGAACAACTCTCAGACTTGAGAAACAAAGTTGTACATTTGCAAGGTTGTCTGTGAATATTTCCTTGTCCACAAGCCAATTCAATCTAATCAAACTGTCACAAATCACTTGCTTCGATTCAAAAGGGAATTGAACATGCAAACTAGGATTGGCATGGAGGAGTAACTATTGACATTTCCCAGTTACTAACATGGAGAAAACCCAAGGAACGGAGAACATATCAGAGACTTGCACGCAAAAGCTATTTGACAGTGATGATGCCATGCCGGGTTCTTAGATGTCTCAAACTCATGGTTTTCGCAAGATAATTACTGCATGGTTTCCTTGTATCGTTCAGCGGACAACGCCTCTTTTGATCCATGAATTATACACTCGTGGCATCGCAATTTACAGAGACACAGCTATAATTCCTTGTTGCGGATACTCAAGAAACAATACATAACCCTTCTTTCCAGAAACAACTGTCCCAAGAATTAAATTTACAACGCAATGGACATGTCATAGAGAAAAGATGCCCTGACTCGACTCATCAAACACAGGCATTCACTGTGTGGATCCTTATCAAGAAAATTAACTATGCTCTGCTCTTCAATGCAATTCCAACCCTTCAACAGAACACCTCTATGCATGAAAAGTGGCAGTCAATGCACGACAGGATCATGTCTGCCAGCTGCTACCACTTCATCTACTTTCTAAATTCAAAGGACTTGCATCATTAAAAGAAAAGAATTGTTGCCTTGCCTTTGTGACTCTTGTACTAGAAGAAACCTCCTAAGTCCTAACTACTACTCCTACAACCAGAAGTGCCTCGTCTGAAAACAATCAACATTCAGATGTCAAGTCTAATGGCATATGCTCCTATAATCCCAAAGAACCAGATTCCTTAAGCAGCACAAAGTAGAATTGAAGGAATACCTTATCAAGGTTAACGCATTTGTCTCAAGCACATATGCTCCTCAGGCACTTGAATTTACTTGAATGACATCTAAATAAACCATAAATGGAATGCAACACACAGCTACATAGATTCCTTAATAAACTAGTTACTGTAGGACCTAGAGAAACAAGCATGGGTATGGAGAAAGAAGCCCCCAATTCGGCAGCCACGATCAAACCAGGCAGAATATACATAGTATACTGCACACACATTTTCCCAATATACCAAGTATATTGGCACAACCATAGATTTGGCTCAAATAACCAACCAAAAATCACAACAGGGAAGCAGCATCCCAAACACACAAAAGGGGTATGAAAATCAAACTCACAACAAGAAAAACATTGCCAAAACATCCCCTAAAACAAATTCGTTAAAATAAACCATAATAAAAGGACAGCCTTGTACTAAACTTCAAGACAATTATTAAGGTTCCAATTTTACAGATCCTACAACTTCATTCACACTTTCGTATCCAAAAATAGAACGTTTAATCATTAACTTTACGACAACAAATCAAAAACAACAAAATGGGGACCTTTCAAACAATACACTCACATCACATTACATTGCATCTCCACTATTGCCCACCACTCTCCTCCTCCAATTTCTGCACATAAGCCTTCAAAACCATGACAACATCCCTCGCTGGCGCCTGTAAAGTACCCACCAATCCAATAGCAGGACCCTGTAAAGCCCCCAAAATCTTAGCATAAATCTCAGCTCTAGACGGCATAGTTTCAAGTTGTTTAAAATCATCGGGCCCGTAGAACTTTCCTTCAAAGACAGCCCCAGTGAAATCATTCTCTAACTTCTTTTCCTTCTGAAAATCCCTATAAGGCTTTAAAGCTTCAGGTATCTCTTCGGTATGCACAAAAAGCCAAGCATTCATTCCTGTCATACAAGGTTTTAAAGCTTCCCATGGAGTGCCTTCAATGGCCTTATAAACCAAGGTGTTTTTAGCTACAATGAGTTTTGATGATTCAGGCAATGATCTTCTGAAGTCTTGAAATTGTTTGACTGTGAAGCCCGTGTATTTTATAGCTGCTAAGAGGTAGCAATTTTCGAGCTGGGTTTTGACTAATTCTACTGTTTCTTCCTTTTTGGTGCGGGAAATTGCGGATTTGATGGTAATGGGTCTGTGTGAAACGAAGGTTTTGTGGGTTGTGGGGAAGGAAAGGGAAAGTGGGTTTGAGGGGCGGAAATGGGTTCGGGAAAGAGGGGGTTTCGAGGAGGGGAAGGAGAGGAGACCGGTGGTTTCCATGGTGGTGCTAGAAGACTAAACGAGGAGGAGAGTGTTAGCGCGTGCTTTTGTGGCTTATCTTATCATCGTCAGTGCGTGTTTTGTGTTTTGGTGTGCACAGTGTGGATGATGGAGAAAAAACGGAGGGTGAAAATATTTAAAATAAGGGGTGTATTTATTTATTTATTTTATTTAAAAAGGCCACTTAATTTTTCATTTACTTCAAAGCTCTGGCTCCATTTTCTCTTTTAAACTCCTTGAGTCCAAATCTCACTCCAAGAGTTTATTTAAAAATATAACTATAATTGTTTTTAAAAATATTTTTTATTTTAAAATATTTTAAAATAATATTTTTTTATTTTTTAAAATTAGTATATAAAAATAATATAAAAATACTAAAAAAAATAAAACAAATTTAAAATTTTTAAAATATTTTTAAAATATAAAAACAAACCGGTATAATTATATGCAAAGTAATTCACAAAATTATTTTCTATTAAAACATTAAATAAGTAATATAAAAATAATTTGGGTGACTGCTTAATTGGTTTTAATAATCAATTTGTTTTCTCGACATCGAATGTGTTTAACCAAAATGGCTCCACACTTCCACTGCCGCATTTAAGTGGCCGCCGGCCGGCATCAGTATCACTACTCAGAGATTACTGAGTAAAATTGTGACCTATAATCCAACTAGAACAGTCTCCACATTAGGATGGGATTGAATTTGAAGATATGGGAGAGGACTGGCCTCATGAATTGGAATTTCTGTTCAAAAAATCTAATGCGTCTGCTTTTGCCACAGTTAATTGTGATATCTTGGCTAAGTTTGAGGGAGGGGAAGAGAAATTGGGTCTGCTCTCCGCACTCTTAATTTTCAATCCCAAACAAAACCAGCCACATCCAATATCCAATCCTTCAGATCAAATGCAAAGAAAATCTGGCACATCCAATATCCAGTCACCGATGTTCCATTTCTAACCCGTCAGTTTAAAATATTCCAATCATACCCATGTAGTTTCTCAAAAGTTTTAATACCACTACTGAACGTTAATGAATCTACGGGAATTTAAAGGATTGCTTGCCCTTTTAAAACTAATGTTCTTGGAGGTTTTACAATTTGGCCGGCCTTTTAAATATTCCACTCATGGGGCTATACACGGTGCATGAATGTAGACTCCCTCTCCTTCTTGAAAATATGATTATCCGGTTATTGTAATCTATCTGAATTACGGAGGAAAATTTTTGAAAAATGTCAAAAACCTCGTGAGATAAACGAGATAAAAGGCAGGACTTTGTAAGCTGAAAAGGTCTATCATAAGCTAACAAAGAACATTACAAGTTTAAAAAAAAATCATGCGACAAATATATCGTTTCTCTTTGAAATGGTCATGGTATTTTCCAGATCATTCACATAGTTGCGACGGCACGTCAAGCAGAGAGCCATGGCATCGGGAATCAGATGCTGATTTCGGCAAATCTCAGGCATAGAACTTTTTTTTATGTAGAAATGAGCTTCAAAACTTTCTTTTATTGATTTCTAAAATAAAGGTTTTGAATGGATTGGTTCAGAAGGAAAAATGGAGCATGTTGCGTTACAGAACGTCTATGAAATACACTCCCTTCCAAGAATATAGTCCACTGCCTCTTCAACAGTATCGATAACCTGCACAATTGAAATACAGATCAGGGAAGACAGATGTACACTAGTTCTTGAAATGCAGTATCAATAACCTGGGTAATTTGTCAGAGGGGAAACGTGTGATCCCATCATGTTTATGAATATTAATTTACAGCATGCAGAAAGTTTAATCGTTTGACTTGCCAGATCTGCAGGAAACTCTGCATGGTTACGTTTCCCGCGGAAAACACCTGTCCTTGTTAGGATAGAAAACCAAGGATGTCCTGCCTGAAAGAGAAACGAAACAATTTTCTTTTATTCTCAACATGTGCATGGGGAATGCCTAAGAAATTGGTATAGAAATCTTATGCGCTCCACCAATAAAAGCTACAAGGAATAGGCAGGACAAACCTGTTGTGCACCTTTAACGTCAACTGAAGGATTGTCACCAATCATATAGAGAGTTTTGAATGACTGTAACCCAAAATCTCCAGGTTCCTTAAAATTATCACTATGATAAGATGGCTGAAGTTGCTTCAACATAGCTTCGGCATTCTTAAATACAAATGGATCAGGCTTCCCAAAACAAACATACTCCAGTGGATTATAGTGAATTCTGCAAGCAAATACCAATTAACAGACATTATATATATATAGTGGAAAACCCGAAAATAGTACTAGGTCTTTCTTTC